ACATACAAAGCAGAACACAGCTAAATGTATCAAAAGTATGTCTATGTAACATTAGAATTTTCTTAGACAATGAATTTTGGTTTTTCATTTTTTTCCCCTATAAGAGGTTTTTATTTTTAATAGAATTTTTGGACAAGAAAATCGCAATATATCGCCTTGCTTATAGTATCGCAATATATCGGGATATATCGTATCGTGACCCCTCTGTCATGATATGTATCGTATCGCCAAATTCTTGCCAATACACAGCCCTAAGCTACAGCATGTCATATTGTTCTCAAAATCAGTACAGGTGGTCTTGTCATGTCGCACTCACAAGCTTTGATCAAAAAGGCCCACTCTGACATTCTTAGCTTTCTCATTCCTGGAACAATTTCTGCCCTGACAAATCAAACTTTTCTTCCTTTTAATTGTTTGAAACTTTGTGAGGTTAACTTTAACTAAATGTAGGGTGGTGAACAGGATTCTGAGAGAACGACTCCCTCTATGRCACAAGAGGCACTTCAGTGGAACACTGTCATTATTTCTCTGAGTGGTTTTGCTTCTTCCATTGCAGAAAGGTCTAGATACGGTTTAAGGGATGTTTGCGTAAGATTAATCTAGCACACAAAAAAGTAAAAAGCTAAAAACTTTTTTTATTATTCAAATATTCTTTTTATTTCATGTTCTCTGCTTTATATGTTCTGTAAATTAAAAATTCAGAAATATTGTTATTTGACTGTTGTGAGCTGAAAGTTTACTACTGGCACATTAAAAATGATAATACAGGTTTAGTAGAGAAAATGACAGAATCTTGTGTTATTTTTATTTCTCAATCAAAGACAAACTCTGTATCATCTCATTCAAATCACCAAATATCCCTTTCCCCCTCTCTGCTCTGCATTACGTTTGTTAAAGTACTGCTGAGGTTTTAGAGATATCCATCTCTGAAGCGAAAGACAATAGAGGGAAATATAAATTCTTCTGYGGTGCTTTAAGCATTAGGAACTGACATTTGAAAACCTCAGCAGCAAATTATCGCTCCAGAAACCATGTCTGAGGCATGCAGGATAACCYCCCAGACCTTCCATACAGCAGAATGTGCTGGAACTAGTTTCTATCAAAGAGGAACTCCTATGGAAAACTGTCAACATTGTTAACTGAGTATTATTGAAAGTGACACAAGCATTTCATTTTCTGCCTGTTTTTAACGTTTGGTTTATTTATCTGTTTGTTTAGCTTTTTTTAAGAGAAAAAAATGAATGGAATAATAAGAATAATTGTCTTTTTATTGTGTTTTTTTTTTTCTCACAAGGGCTCATTTACCTTTGCTGATGGTCTTCAGTACCAGGAGAACAACTGGGATTACTGTGATGGTAACGACAGACGCTACTACACCGAAAGGTGCAACGGAGTCAGACCAGCAGGTTGGAATTCATTTATTTATGTGCTCATCATGTTTTTTTTCCCTTCTGTCCACATCCCATACAAATATATTTATCTTTTGGCTTAAAAAAAAAAAGAAAATCGAAAAAAAAAATAGTTGAGACACCTGAAAATTTTAAAATCTGTTTCCTGTTTGACTCCAGTACAAAGACAACATATTGGATCATTTTAAGGCTTAGCAACGAAGAGAACAATGCTTTTTAATGAAGTGCAGAAAAATGCAGTCATGTTTGCCTTAAATCAGGGATGGGAAACTTAAATGATGAAAAGGGCCACACAGCGCTGCACACTTGTAATAAAACAGCCATTTTAAAAATGTTTTTATATATATGTTTATTAAATCAACATACAGTGCAGTAACAACATATTTCATACTCAAATGCAGGTATAACAGCTGTACACTTGTTTAATAAATGAAAGCACTTACTTTAGTGAGCTTGAGCACAGACTCCTGTGTGGTTCTGGTAAAAAAAAGTTGCTGTTGTTTATGGACTCATGACTTCATTATGTGTGACCCATCACATCGAAAT